ATTTACTTACAGTTAACATGGGATGATACTTTGTTAGTTAGATATTCTCATTCTTTATTCAACGTATAGAGAAAAATCATGTAATTGGGGATCTCATATTCATCCTATCTCCTAGTTTTTTTTCCCATCATGTATAACTTTTACTCTATCGTGCAACACATGCATGGGGAGCTTAAGTGGCTTGTAAGTATTATTGAAAATGTTATAGTTACAATATCATGTGACATTATAAGATTAAAATATGATATGTCATTATATAATTAACTATCTTTATTTATTGGTTTACCCATAATTAACTAACTTTTACTCTATTGTGCAACACATGCATGGGGAGCTTAAGTGGCTTGTAAGCATTATTGAGAATGTTATAGTTACAATATCATGTGACATTATAAGATTAAAATATGATATGTCATTGTATAATTAACTATCTTCATTTAGGGGTTTACTCGTAATATTATATATATCAACTCATTTAATGGCATATATAAATTTATGAGTAGGGATTTACTTATATACAAATCTTACACCTTACATTTACTCAAAATCTTAACTATTCATTTTTCTACTTTCAGTAGTTGAGATAATTATGTTTTTCATTTAAAAAGTCATAATAAATCTCAACCATTGAAAGTTGAGAGATAAAAGGTTGAGATTTGATATAAGTGTAGTATGTAAGACTTGTGTATAAATGGATCTCTTCATATATATATATATATCATCTCTCCACTTTTAATAATTGAGATTTATTTACATTTCTTAAAGATAATTTTCTTTTGCACCTAAATTGTCGTGATGAGGAGGAATTTATTCACACACAAATCTTATACATTACACTTATATAAAATCTCAACCATTCATCTTTCCACTTTCAATGGTTGAGTTTTGTCATAACATTTTAGGTGAAAAATATAATTATCTTTAATAAATGTAAGTAAATCTCAACCATTAAAAGTAAAGAGATTAATGGTTGAGATTTTGTGTAAGATTCGTGTGTAAATAAATCTTTACTCTCTCTCTATACATATAAAGTAGAGATCTACTTATACACAAATCTCAAATAGTACACTTACACGAAATGTTAATTAATCATCTCTTATCTTTCAATACTATTAGAAATAACAAAATTCAAAGACAAATAAAAACTTACAAATCTTGTAACAAAACTTGTTAAGATTCTGAGGGTTGCATTT